CAAGACATTGACCATGACGATGCTGGATTGATCAATACCGAGTCTATTAGGACCGTTGCAAACATGGCCATCGTGCTTGCATCTCAAGATCGGTATAGCGGCAATAGCTCTTGGCAAGAGCAAGTCGACAACAATACGCTCTTGTTCTACGAGTCGGGCAGAGCAGGTTTGGGGAGCCAGGTGAGCATGTGACTGAAGTCCCGACCACGCTTTGGCTCTGCTACTGCATCACTGAACGCTGATGCGCATTTATAGATAGACAACGTTGATATCGCGTGAGCGTTTAGCAACTCCGCCGCAAGCTGGATTCATTCTGAGCATCGCGCCTGCGTAGCGCTTTCGGAGTAGCGGAAGTCGCCGCAGGCCTCGCGTACAACTCCAGCCAAGACCACCGGCTTTCTATCGCCGAGTTCAACTACAACATCATCAACGAGGATTTCATCACGGACGGCGCAGCCCAGAATGCGTCGTATCCCCGCCCATTGAACACGACTTGTGGATGTGAGGGTGTTGCTCTGTCGAAGAGCGTTGATATTGACTTGCATCCAAAGCCACCCTCGGCGGTCTGCTCTTTGCCGTGCGCGTCTAGTCGTTTCGCTGTCTGCGCTGTCTGACCCGCCGCATTCTTTACAGAGTCACAGCAACACCACCAATCTCACCGTTCACGCCGATGCCATAGGGTGCGGAGCATCTTTGTCCATGTTGAGGGCACGTCCTAACTCTAACTTCGGTACAGAGCTTGGGTAGTGTGCGCACACCAGCCATGTCATACGAGCGCGTCGAACCTGACCTTACACGGTCAGATTGACAGCTCGTCTATACGAACTCACCCAGAAACCGACTTATCTCGCTGCGGCGGAACAGTCTATCCGGTTCATGGAGAAGTACATGATCAACGTCAACGACTCTAACTCCGTCGTCTCGAGCACATTCGACCCCACAACTTGTACTGTCAACACCACCGATCTCGGTACGGCTAGTGCGGACTCGGTCGGGTACTTCATCGAAGGATTGAGCATCGTGGCCAATGTCACCGCGAATGAGACATACACCCATATGTACGCCATCATCATCTAAATAGGATGATGCGCTTTGATACTCACCGCAGCCTGTGCTCAGGTTGGACGTGCTTATCCCGGCTGTCGTGTCATATCGCAACTGGCACAACTCGGATGGGGTCCTCACTGAAGGTGGGCTTAAACATTAGGGATGTTCGCAGTCGTATTGACGCTTGACTGCCCCTCAGATACCGTCTGGAGCTCCAAGGGTAAGGGTCGTTTCGAAGTCAATCAGTACTTTTCTCTCACAACAAGGCGATCATTGTGTAGGAACTCTCATACGCGGACTTCTTGAGGCACGACTACGGAACCCATCCAACGAAGAACTGATCAATTTGTTCAACAGTTATATCACGGTCCAGGTGCGCAAACCCGAAGACTCTCGTAACCTTGAGCTAAGATACGTGCTTTGCAGTATAACGCTGTGCGGAACAACGCGTTCATTGGTGGCAACGACTACGCTGTCTCGTGGCACGGTGGATCTTCCGTGTCAGGCCAGTATAATACGGTCGGCAACGTTGAAGCTTTGGACGTTCTGAATGCTGCCTTTGTGATAGCACCTCCGTCAGTACTCGTAGACCCCTTTAGAATATCGCACTGAATATGCATACAGCGACGCTTCCCCAACTCAGAATGCCAACGCTACGACAACCGGCGCCCCTGCGAATTCCACAACAACGGCTCCTTCAAGTTCGTCATCCAGAACCGCTTCAACTCGTGTCGGCACCATCGTTGGCGCCACAGTTGGAAGTACTGTCGCAGCTGCTCTTGCCGTCCTCGCACTGTTCTTGTATCTACGACGACGACGACGTGCACGCGAGATGCCCGTGAACGACGACCTGGACGACGACGAAGACAGTGGCAACGCTGCCAGGAAACGTTCGGCCCGAGATCCAGCGTTGGAACCATTCAGCCTAGTTACGCCCATATTCGATCGCACTAGAATGGTGTCAGAGAAGGGTCGCTCTCAGCAGCGCGTAACACTTGGGCAGGAGTTCTACGGCAGCAACAACTCGTCCAGTACTCCAACATCCCCAGAAGATCACCCCTCGGAAGTCTCCCCCATCACACCGGCCGTATCGAGTGATTCGGACGCCCTGCACGCTCTGGAAAGGAGGCTCGAGAGGAGGCTAGATAACCTTATCCAGACGCTAGTCGTCCACGGAGACACGGAGAGCAATCCCCCAGAGTACGACGGGCACTACGTGCATCGCGCCTAACATACCGATCATAATAGTGCGTCGTTGTGACAAGTTAGCCAGTGAGGTACAAGTAACCGACACATCGCGTAGATTTATCGATGCGCCTCACTTCCACCAGTGCACCCGCCATAAACTGATGCTGCAGTGCGTAGCCCTGAGGCTGTTATGACGTATTTAAAAGTTAAGCTGCAAAAGAGCCTGCATATTCTGTGGGGTCTAACGTCTCCTCCCGTATCAGGCATTATTTCTAAACACGTAGTTACGCACTAGCTGTCGTCGCATGGAATGACTATATTCCCGCAGGCTTCTATCCTTGTGCCCATGGTACCCCTAGTAGAAGCCGAGGCGGGAGACTACTCTCGGATTTGTTCACAATCAGCATTGATCACGCTCGTACTGCGTACGGCTGAAGCACACGGAGAGGATTGATGGCAGCTCGGAGTCAGGTCCGCACTCCGATGAGCGCGTCAACGTCTGTCAACGTTCGCCACCTCCCTTGTACTGGCCATCACCATTCAGCGAACGATAACTCGCCACTCACCACACTCTGCACCCGATGTCTCTCCCACACTTAGGCTTAGGCTCAAAAGGAAGCTGCGACGCTTAGGGACTCGATCCACACCCCGGCTCGGGCGAAGACGTGTTGCACGAACGCATGGATGGACCCGGGAAGAATAGTAGACTTGGACGAAGAAAACGAGGACGGAAACGGAGATGCGGGCCGCATAGGACGCATTGAATGAGGCTGCATCTATGCATCGATTTTTAATGAGATGGTCAAGTGAGATGTTGAACCTCGAGAGGCCGGAATTATGAAGCAGTAGAAGAGCCGCAAGCATAACGGCGGATGAGGGGGTTGGGGAAACCGGATAGCTCTATTGGATCAGGTGCGGAAACAACACTCGAAGCTCAGGGCGTCATTGCTAATGCATTGTGCCAGCGCAGATGTGGCTCAAAGCGGGAAGCGTATATAGTAGCACGACCCAGACTCCCTTCGGCAGGTATACAAGATAGTACGGCCTGACTTATACCCTTGATCTGTCACGCGGACGTATGTCCTGAACTGCTGTTCCTGTTATGCATATGTTCTCGCTGAAACTACGGATGTGCTGGGCGAGGGGGCGATAGTTGGGTAAGGTTATGATGCAGGAGCTCTCAGCGCGCGGTCGTTCGCTGTGTTGTTACCGAAGACTGAGGTTGAGTTCACCGCAAAAGTACACATGCTCGTACAGGTGCATCCCACCCTAACACTCGGATCCTGCAGATTTCCCCATACCCGATCGCATTACGCTGGGGCGGCTGGGCAAGGCGCAGGTCGAGCTCGCAAACCAAATTCGGACGCCGGAACGATAGAAATCTCACGTGCAGGACAGGTTTCTCCGATAATGGCCCGCGGCTTAAAGCAGCAGCTCGTTCGCAGCCGTTCTGGCTCTCCCTACTCCTCCCTTTGCCCTCTGTCCCTGCCGCACAGGGTCTGGCATCGTCGTAGGACTGGTTCAGACTCACGCAGCACTCTCCGCGTCTTGCCCTTTCCCGTTCTAGTCCAATCAACATGGCACCTTCCGACTTCGCCAATGCTGACATCGATAGCATCCTCGAGCAGCTCACTCTTGAGGAGAGCATCTCCCTCACAGCCGGTGTAGGGTTTTGGCACACTGCCGCTGTCCCTCGTCTAGGTATTCCCGCCCTCAAGGTATGTCCACCCATCCATACTCTATCTTCACATCCTAAGTCTGAGCGCCACAACAGGTCAGCGATGGACCGAACGGCATTCGCGGCAATCACTTCTGCATGGGGTGTCCGAGCAAGTGCCTACCGTCTGCGACGGCTCTCGGTGCGACCTGGGATCCGACTTTGATCGAGCGCGTTGGACACGAGCTGCTTGCGCCCGAGGCCAAACTTCGTCAGGCGTCTGTTGCGCTTGCACCGACTTGTAACATCCAACGGGTACGCGCCACTACCTCCCGGCGTAGACACCCGCTAACGCATGGTGTAGAATCCGCTTGGCGGTCGCGTGAGCGATACTCCACTTTGTCGCTTGCTGAGGGCTAACGGCAGGTATAGAGCTTCGAGAGCTTCTCTGAGGACCCGCTTCTTTCTGGTCTCATTGCTGCCGCGTACACGAAGGGCGTGCAGGATGAAGGTATCGCAATCACCATCAAGCACTTCACGTACGTCTATCTTGTCCGTTTTTCTCTACTAGCCAGTGCTAACGCGCGCACTCCTGTAGGTGCAATGACAAGGAGAATGACCGCTTCGGATATGATGCTGTCGTATCGGAGAGGGCCTTTCGCGAGATATATCTCATGCCGTTCATGCTCGCGCAAAAGATTGCAAAACCTTGGGTATGCTTATGGTTGCAACGTATCCACGATCTAACTCAACGTTTCTATCCAGTCTTTCATGACAGCGTACAACAGGATCAACGGCACGCACGCTTCGGAGAACAAGAAGCTTCTTCAGGACATTCTCCGCAACGAATGGGGCTTCGATGGTCTTGTCATGAGCGACTGGAACGTTGTCATTCTCGGCGTTTGGTGGTACCGTAGGCTGACGGTATGCCTACAGGTTCGGCGTCTTCAGTATCGATCATGCTCTGAATGCTGGTCTCGATCTGGAAATGCCCGGCACAAATAAGTGGAGGACGCTCAACCTCGTTCAACGCGCCGTACAAGGTTTCAAAGTCACACCACGTACCATCAAGGAGCGTGCGCGCAAGGTTCTCGAGCTCGCTCAGAAGTGCGCTAAGGGTGCACCTGAGGTATGCATGCCGTCACCGTACTCAAGGGGAGCTTGTTGACAGGGCCACCCAGGTCCTTGATGGGGATGGCATAGAGCGCACCAATGAGTCTGAGGAGGACAAGGCACTGATGCGCAAGGTCGCCGCCGAGTCGATCGTCCTTCTCAAGAATGACAACAATATCCTTCCGCTGCAGCCTGACAAGATCAAGAAGATTGCTATCGTTGGCGGCAATGCTAAGGTACAGGTCTAGTTGCTCCATGTTACACTCTTTGCTCATATTGTGTAGGCTTTCATCGTGTCCGGTGGAGGCTCCGCTTCGCTCAAGCCGTCCTACTTCACATCTCCCTATGATGGTATCGTTGACTCGCTCCCGAAAGACGTAGACGTCGTATACTCTGAGGGCGCCGGGACGTACAAGACGCAGCCTTCGCTGGACTTCGACATCTTCACCGAGAAGGGCGAGCGCGGGTGGATCGCATCGTGGCACAAGCACACAAGCGACGACTCGATGGAGGTTGTACCGGAGCCTGTATCGGTTAATCTCATGGACGAGACACGCATCTTCGTCAGCCTGAGCGCGCCGAAGGGCCTGACCGAGCGATGGACCTGCCGTCTCCGCGGCGAGCTCAAGCCTCGGGAGAAGGATATGAAGTTCAAGTTCGGTCTGTGCGTCGCTGGTCGTGCGAAGCTTTACGTCGACGACAAGCTTGTCATCAACAACTGGGATCGCCAGCGCCGCGGAGAAGAGTTCTTCGGATGCGCTACAGAAGAGGAGACCGGGGTCGTTGATCTGAAGGCTGGCGTGGCACACAAGATCTTCGTGGACTTCTGCAACGTGCGTGGACCCGCAGACAACGATACGGATGAGCTGGTCATGGACACCAACGCCGGCGTTCGTCTTGGTGGCGCTGAGGTGCGCGACCCGGACGAGCTCATGGAGGAGGCAGTTGCGCTCGCGCGTGATGCGGATGTTGCTATCGCCGTCGTCGGTCTTAATGCCGATTGGGAAAGTGAGGGATATGACCGAACGACGCTCGCGCTTCCCGGACGCACGGACGAGCTTGTGGCAAAGGTCGCGGCCGCGAACCCCCGCACGGTGGTGGTGTCGCAATCCGGCTCGTCCATCGAAATGCCGTGGGCACGCAGCGTCGGCGCGCATATCCATGCATGGTACCTCGGCAATGCTACCGGCGAAGCTATAGCGGACGTACTGTTTGGACGCGTTACTCCCGGCGCAAAACTTTCTCTATCATTCCCCAAACGCTTGGCGGATGTCCCTGCCCATGGCCACTTCAACGTCGATGATGGGAAAGTCTTATATGGAGAGGACGTTTTTGTCGGGTACAAGGGCTATCAACACCGTCTCATTGAGCCCGAGTACGCGTTTGGGTACGTGTTCGTCGTTGTCATATCCGCAGATGTACTGACAAGCTCTCCCCAGCCACGGCTTGTCGTACACAACTTTCGAGTACTCTGACCTTCAAGTCTCTGAAGCATCCGTCTCAAATGGCGACGTCACCGCCAAGGCAACGGTCACACTCAAGAATACTGGCAGCGTCGCAGGCGCGGAGGTCGTTCAGCTCTATGTTTCGTGGCCGGGTACCTCTGCGCTCATACACCCACCTAATACCCTGAAGGCCTTCCGGAAGGTCGTGGTTCAGCCGGGTCAGAGCACGGTGGTTGAGCTTGCGCTTGACAAGTATGCCGTCTCATCCTGGTATGAGCGTCTGAACTGCTGGGTGGCAGAGAAGGGTGCATACACCGTCTCGGTCGGTGGTGCCAGCGATAAGTTGCCACTCAGTGCAACGCTCGAGGTTCCCAAAGTGCTCGAGTGGAGGGGCCTGTAATCAACGATGAAGCATAGAAAGCTCAGAGTTTTGATTGTCTTTATTTGTATCATAGTGCTCGTTTCCGGCAATTGCCGAGGTCCCATCAATAATCTCAAGCACAAGACGCCCATCTCTTGTCTTTTGACCACCACGGTCTTACGTCTGGCTTTACAGCATTTTTCTCTCTGGGCTCTGTCGTGCACTGTATCATACTTTCAAAATCACTTCTACGCGCTCCGCTCGATAGCTACTGTCTCATTTGATTGATCAGTGGCGCATTCATCAAGCATTCAGGCTATGCCCTCCCCTCGACGTATATCCTACTACTATGATCCGGACGTAGGCTCATACTCGTTCGCATTTCATGCAACTTTACTTGAGTACAAATGTGAACGTCTCACCGTCAGGTACGGAGCTCACCACCCAATGCGGCCCATGCGGATGCGGATAGCCCACGAACTTGTGACTGCGTACGACCTCTTACCCAAGATGGAAGTCTCGGTACGCTTACATATACTGGCGCTGAGATACCCTGGACCTAACTTGCTCTGCATGGGTGTAGATGCCTACGCGCGCGACTGCACAGTCTATGACCGCTTTCCATACCGACGAATACATCGACTTCTTGACGAAGGTGACGCCTGATAACTTCGCTCAGCTCTCCTTCGACGGAAAACAATGTGAGACGCTCTTACTCACACAGATGCGAACCTAGACTGATCTTCATGGACGACCCCAAGACCTGGTGGGTTACGACAACCCAGTCTTTGACGGCATCTTTGAGTTTTGTTCAATCTCCGCTGGAGGGACCCTAGGTTCGTCGTAGTCCATGTGGGCTTGGAATGTGCTCACTCCAGCGTACGTATGTGCAGCTGCAGCTAAGGCAATATCGTCTGGCCATGCTGACATTGGCATCAACTGGGCAGGCGGCCTGCATCACGCAAAGCGACAAGAGGCCAGCGGTTTCTGCTACATCAATGACATAGTCCTCGGGATACTGGAGCTTCTGCGCGTATACCCTCGCGTTCTCTACATCGACATTGACTGCCATCACGGTGATGGTGTCGAAGAAGCTTTCTACACCTCTGACCGCGTGATGACTTGCAGCTTCCACAAGTTCGGCGACTTCTTCCCCGGAACTGGCACGCAAAGGGATAGAGGCGTCGAAAGGGGTTTTGGTTACGCAGTGAACGTCCCTCTCCGAGATGGCCTGAGTGACGACTCCTTCCGCGAGGTTTTCGAACCCGTGAGAAAATAATGCACTATCAGCTTCTCGCTCAACTGATACCTTTGACCCCATCCAGGTCATCAGCAGGATCATGGAGGTCTTCCAACCATCGGCTGTCGTGTTACAGTGCGGCGCCGATTCCCTATCCGGTGACAAACTTGGCCAATTCAACGTGTCGATGTACGGCCATGCGGCATGCGTCCAGTTTGTACGCAGTTTCGATGTCCCCTTTGTGCTCCTAGGTGGAGGCGGTTATGCGGTGAAGAACGCCGCCCGAGCGTGGACGTACGAAACGGCCTGCGCTATAGGCGTGGAGAAGGACATCGATGTTGTACTGCCCTGGACCGACTACTTCGAGTGGTTCGGACCTCGATATCGCCTGGAGGTCCCGCCCAGTAACATGGAGGACGTGAACTTGCGAGATAACTATCTTGAGCGTGTCAAGTAATCAACTTCGCGGACTCTTTTCCCATCAGAGGCTGATCTCTGATAGGACGCTCACGCTGCAGCAGCTTTCTGAGCTGAAGGGGGCTCCCTCAGTCGGGTTACATGATACACCTCGGCAGGCTTTAGACGAACATCTTGGCCTGACTTCTGTGACCGTGCGGGGATTGCACGGAGAGGTTGACGATCTTGACAAACGGATCGCTCGTAAGCACTGTATCATGTTCGCTTCGACCTCGCATGCTCACTGCTATCTTTGTGCTCAGAGATGTCCCGTTACGTATATGAGCTTCAGGAGCCAGCAGCACCTGCGTTATCACTGGACGAGTCGGACTCATCTACCGAATATGACTCCGAGGATGCGGAATCACGCCGAAAGCAGTCCATCCGACATACAGAGAAATGGAGGCGAAGAATGAGCATTATATCGAACGACTGGTACGACCTACCCCCAGCTCTAGATATTCATGAACATGACGGCACCACCGACATCGGGGAGCGGAAGGGACTGAAACGGAGAAGTTTATTTGATAGCGGCTTATCATGGGACTACAACTCAGGGCAAGCCGTCGTCAATCGCTTCGAAGGTCTCATCTCCAGCATACTACCAAGTGGCTCGGACGACATCTACGGATTGGATCAGGACGATCTATATGGCCCATTGGACAACGTGGACCTGGAAGATTATTGAGTCAGTGCACGTCAACGATAGAGTGGTCATCAGACTGACTCCTCGGCTGTTACAGCGGCGGTGGAGTAGGGGTGCCTGGGAGTGCGAGGCAGGAGGCGAGGAGGCAGGAGGAGC